GGTCATCAGCACACAGCCCCTCTCCCTCTCTGGGTCCAGAGTCCCCAGCCGCTCCATCTCTCCTCATCATCATCTCTGTGTCCATCTCTGGCGTGGCTGCTTCTCTGGGTAGGCTCCTGCTCTCCACTCTTCTCCCTTGATGGTACAAGGGACCTCTGCTCCTGGACTGCAAAATCAATCACTCCCCTCCTTTTGCTACAAAACGTCTACCTTTACATTTCCAACCCTCACAGTCAGTCCTGATAACAATTATACACTATTGTACCACAAGAGACCTATCCCCATCTCCTTTCATCAGCCCCGCCCAGACAGACTGGATACTACTCAGTGGAGACTCTATCTGCCTCAGCGCCCTCTGGATCTAGGCTCCTTTTTGAAAGCTTATAAGCCAGTCACTTCTTGCCTTTGTAGCCCTTCCATTTTGGGTAGCCAGTGTCCAAGTTGTCCACCCCTGTCTTCTCTGTGTATGGAGGGGGTGGGACTGATCCTAGCTGTAGAGATTTGTTCCCTCTTTTGAGAATTTGTTCCCTCTTTTGAGATTTGTTACTCTTTTTTTCCTCCTCTTTCTTCTAGTTGAGCTCTGATCATCCAGTCATTGAAGAAAGGTCAAGTGGGGCCATGGGCTTTTGTGACGTGAACAGTCACTAACAAGTGAGCCGTCGGTGAGGTGATGGGCCACTTAGAGCACCCACTTAACCGTTCTGCCAACTCAGCTTGGAGGGGAAACTATGGCAGCCATCCAGTAATCATAATCCCTAATCTAGTCGTGAGGTTAGAGAGGAAGGAAGGTGGTGGCTCCGCCAGGAAGCCCCATTCCCAGGAAAGAGGAAAACAAAAAAACAGCATGAGGCAGACATGAGTCTGGTGAGGAAATGTGTCAGAACTTGGACAACAGTTGTGAAGGTGTTGGACTCAAGCTATCGACAGTCTAACAAGATGTTTGTCTAAGGTGATTCCAGCATTAGGAGCTGGGATGGTGCTCTCTGGTGGGGACTGATGGCACAGAACTCATGGACGTCAGGGATTCCAGCAGGAGGCAATGGGACGGGAGACAGGATGCGTAGAGTCCTGGACACTGGAGGGCACAGGCGCGAGGACAGGATGTTAAGACGCAGGGCACACCCGTGGGAGCAGGGCCTCGACAGGACCGCCCTTGGTTTTCAGGTCTCACAAGCTTCCTGCCTTTGACAGGTGCAGTCTTGGCATTTTCTACCCTGCGTTTAGTGGAAGTATTTGCGCTTTCCCACTCTGCCAGGTTTCCCAGGTCTTACTGTACGGATGCCAGGGCTGGAGGTAGCTTTGCAGCAGTGCTGGTGCTGTGGGCAGGTGCTCAGGCTCACAGGGGAAATTGAGAATGGGAGTGGGGCTAGCCCCTGGGCTGCGTGTCCCACCTGGAGTCTGGAGAAGCACTGGCTTAAGGAGGTAGAGATGCACCCACAGACAGACGGACTCCCACAGGACAGGGGTGTGTGCGAGGGGAGATTCCTCCCCAACAGCCAGGCCCCAGGCAGTTGTCGCTGACTAGCTGACACTCAAACCCAGGTGGTCTCCTCGCCATGTTCCTCCTCTTTCTCCAGGTTCCTGGGAAATCTGTGATGGTTTGGGGCTGGTAAACGGAGACCTGGTGTGGCGCTGTGGGCTAATGCTTCAGACTACAAAGTCGTTCGAACTGCGAGGTTGGCGGTACAAGCTCACCAGCTGCTTCTTGGAAACCCTATATGGGTCACTCACTATGGGTCGGAATTGACTCGACGGCACTTCGCAACAACAACAACAATGGGCCTGAGAACTTGTCTGTTTTCTACATTGTGTGAATGTGGAGCAGACATGTCCGGTGGTTACTTGGGTCAGGCATACCCAAATGCCACCAGAAGGTATCTCAGACTGCAGAACCTGCCAGCTCCCAGGCCTTTCCTGAAAGGCCCACATCTGTGCGGGTGGCACCCCAGCAGGGAGCTCGCCTCTCAGGGTGGACTTCTCAGCACAACTCCGAATGCCCGCCAGTGTGGCCAGCGGCAATGTGGAGCCAGGGAAGTCTCCTCCAGCTCTCCATGAAGGCCCGGGAACGGGTCACGCCCCAAGCCTCTGCAGCTGGTGCCTCCCTCCCTGGCAGCGTTGGTCCAGCCAGCGTTGTCTCTGTCCACTGTTCCTGTTTTCACAGGTGACCCAGGAATGTGGCAGAAATTCAATCCATTGACAGTTCAAAATGCAGCTGAGAGCTTGGCTCTTCACAGTGGCTTTGTCTGTCTACTCTTCAGTGACCCGGAAGTGCCTGTGCAAGATGGAACCCTAGACTTGAGCTGTTTCCTTGTCCTAGACACCGAAGGCAGCCTCATGCACAACGGCACCAGCTAGCTGCACAGATCTGGTAGACAGAATTGGGGGAGGGACAGAATTTTGAAGTTTAAATCCTGACGTTTCTTGAGATGACTTGATCGAGGAGACTGCGCACGGCTGTGTGGGAGGAACTTGAGGAGGTGGGCAGCGCTGTGGTCCCAGTGTGGCCATCTTCTCGGACTCTGCTGAGTCCAACAATTCACAGAGGCCCAAACCACCCCGAGCCGGCCTGCTTCTAGATGCTTAACTTAGATTTAAGAAAAGTTTGGTTTGTAATCAGTTGTTGCTTTCCCCACACTTGTGTGCTAGGCATACGCTGTCAGCTGACCACTCTGCGCTCTGATGGAATCGAGCGGAAGGGTACTTACTTTGCCGAGGCTGGCGTTGTCGAGGGCCGTATCCATTTCATCTAACACGAAGAACGGAGCAGGCCGAAAGCTGGGGGAAAAGACCAGCCGGTCAGTGATGGCCTCCAGTTGGTTCCCGATGGCCAGGGGAGGGGCAGCGGTATCCAGAAGGGAGACCTCACCTGCTGAGTAGCCGCCCCTCTCACACGGGACCCAGCGGGCACTGCCTAGGCTGAGCACCCCTTCTTCCTTGAAGTTTCCCTTGACTTCTAGGGTTCCACCCAACTCGTCCCCCTGCCTTCCCAGCGGCTCCGCCAGCGTCTGAGGCAGCCAGCCTCTCACCTGCAGCTTTCTGCCTGCAGCGCCCTGGGCTCCAGGTGCAGATCTCTCTTCTAAGTGGCTGCTGCCTTTGCTCTCACCCTCGTCCCCAGGGCACCTCACCCACGCTCCGTCCCTGTACCTCATTCACCTCACCCACGCTCCCATCCACGTACCTATGTTGTACCATGGAGTCGGTTCCGACTCACAGCAACCCTGTGTAGCAGTTCTGCAGAGTGGTTAGTGGATTTGAACCACTGACCTCGCAGTCCAGTGCTTACCCTACAGAACCACAGCAGAACTCATTTCACGTTCCTACCTGCGCGCCGAGAGCACCCCATCCTCACTTCTACCCGCGGTTGGTTCTGCGCCCTCTCTTGAACTCCATGTCCAGCAGCTTACTCAGCAGCCCCTGCTGTGTGTCTAAGCAGCATTTCAAACTCACCCCAGCCACATGGCTCTCCTGCCCTCCAAACCTTTTCCGTCCCTTCATTATCACTCTGGGGGGTTAGGCCCCAGCCCAGACACCTTCTTCCCTGACTGACCTTGTGTCGCCACTGTTGCCTTGTTCTGGGTTGCCCACCCTGTGCCCACCCTGTTCACCCCTCACACAGCCAGGCTCGTTCTTACACTTGTCGCTCCCAGACCTACAACCATCCAGATCTGTGCTGGGACGGCATCTTCTCCAGCACGCTGCCCTGGCGTCAGTAAGCATGCAGACTGCCCTGCCGCCCCCTCTCCTGGGCAGGGTTTCTCTCTGGTGCTCGCCCTTCCCTGAGAGTCTCTGTGTTGGAGAGCTCACACACTGGAAAGCTACCTCTATTACCTGTCTTCCCAAAATACAACAGGGATTTCTCTCTGTTTTATCAGAGCTGTGCTTCCAAGGCCTACAGCCGCACCCAGCCCACAGTAAACGTGTGGTGAGTACCTGCTGGACATGGATGGGCGACACTGGGAACAGGCTTCCTCGGCTAGAGGAGTCCTGACTTCCTGGGACTCTCCTTCCCTGTGGTGAAGCAGGGCTGGGGGGCTTCTAGGGTACCCTTCCTGTCTGTGGTAAGAGGGGCAGTGACAGCCACCCTGTAGACCCCATCGAATGCTTTGACTACCTTTATTTGAGCTAACCTTCCACTCCCTGATTGATTTGATAAGCAGCAACACTGCTATCATCAGTAGAGTGAAGGAGTTTTAGAGAACTATTTTGCTTAGCATTCCTTCCAAGCTAGCAGACCTCCGAGTGTGGACCAGCAAAGTCAGACATCCTCTTGGTCTGTCTGTCTGGGCAAGGCTGATGTCACAGCTGGCCATTGGAAAATCATCGTGCTTGCGTCTCACTACTGACGACAAAAACAAACTAGAACCTGCCAGAGCCTTGTTGTTGTTAACTACTGTCCAGTCGGTTCTGACTCATAGCATAATAGGGTTTCTGAGGCTGTAAATCTTTGTGGGAGCAGAACGCCTCATCTTTCTCCCACAGAGTAGGCTGGTGGGCTTGAACTGCTGACTGTGGTTCACAGCCCAGTGCCTGTCTTACTGCGTCACCGAGATGCCTAACACAGAGCCTGACTCTTCTGGCTGCAGGAGAGTGTATCCCATCTGCTAGATGTTCACAGTAACAAGTCTGTAACAAGCTGCGGTGGGGAGACCCATTCCGTCCCTGCTACCGGAGCTCCCTCAGCACCTGCTGTCACCCTGGCCTCACCTGTGCACCGCAAACAGCAGCGCCAACGTCGCCACACACTTTTCTCCCCCTGACAGGTTGTCCATCAGCATGAAGCGCTTGCCTGGAACCACACAGCTGTAGCCAATTCCCTCCAAGTACGGCTCTTCTGGGTTCTCTGGGCTCAGAAACGCCTGGAATACGATACCAATTTAGCAAGGTCAGAACCATTTGGGTTCCATTTGGGATTTTGGGACTGAAGACTTACGCTGCAAAATACTCGGCTGGCTGGGAACGCAGTGGCTCCAGACAGTAAGCACTGGATTGTCATTCACCAGTCACTCTGTAGGAGAAAGATGAGGCTTTCTGCTCCTTCGAAGATTTACAGCCTCGGAAACCCTATTTACAGGGTCATTATGACACCGCGGCACTTAACAGCCCAATTGGCTAAGTGTTCCTCAATGTGAATGAAAAACAGCAAAGCTTATACACAATGTGTTTAACTTTTACTGTGATCACATGTAAGGGGGGACAAAGAGAACAAAGAATGCATGTAATCCCATGTATGGGGGGCAGGGGAAACACTGTAAGTGATCACATGTTCAGGGGAACAGGGAAAACACTTTGCATGTAATCACATGTACAGGGAGAGGGTGGGTGTGGACAGGGTAAACACACCCAAGCCTTCTTCCCAGACCTCAGCCACCTGATGGCAGCAACTCGTGCCAGCAGCCCTGTAGATGCAGCCACAAGCCTGCCTGCCAGGCCAGCGGTTGACAGCTTATTACATACAGTCTTATCGAAGAGTTATTTTCAAGTGAACTTTTTTTTTTTAATGGAAAGCACTTTATAAATTTCAAAATGTATTTGTTGTTGTTGTTAAGTGCTGTTGAGTTGGTTCCGACTCATAGAGACCCTGTATAGGGGTTCCGAGGAGTGGCTGGTGGGCCTGAACAACCTACCTTGAAGCTGAGTGCTTTTCCTAAGGCGCCACACCAGGACTCCAACTTTCAAAATAAGTATTGTAAAACAAGGTGCACTATTACACTGAAAAGCAGGCCCAGGACACAGCCAATTTATATAAAAAACAGAAATATGCAAACAACAATAATTTTATTCTTGGATACTTTACTTTTCTTTCGTTTCAGGTTTCCTAAATCACTTTTCATGAACCCATTAATATTCAAAGGAGAGCTAAATTTGAAGTTCATCCCTCCAACTCTTGTGCCACACTGTACAAACCTCTACTTCTGTCAACCCTTAACATCTACGTCTCGGGATTGTCATGAGTTTCTATCTCACAAGGGTAACTGCTTCTTATACACTGGCATCTGCATATCATAAAATACTTAGTACAAAACGCCTGTTTGCTAGTATTTTTGTGTCCATTTTGAACACCTAAGATAAATGGCAGGTTCCCCATTAAGAAGAGTTTAAGTCTCAGTGTTTGTCCTCAGTGTTTGATCAGGTGACCTTATGCTCAACATCATCTGCAAGAATGCTAAGGAACTGTAGATTGTAAGCCTACTAACCCCACAACCCACTGCTGTAGGACCACAGCTTCCCTCTAGGACAGAGCAGACCCACCACACAAGGTGTCCAAGTCTGTCAGCTTGATGGAAGCAGACTGCCACGGTGTTCTTGTGCAGAGTGTTTGGTGGGTTGGAACCCCTGTCCTTTTGGTTAGCAGCTAAGTGATTGTATCTTCTCTCTTCACAAAGGAAGAACGTGGGGAAGAGATGAGCAGGCCCTGTCTCCAGTCCACATTCAATTCCCTGGGCACGGACCATGGGTACTGATAAAGGGAAGGGGGAAGGACCCCAAACCAAGGGTCAGAATCCTGCCTTGCATTCTTCCCCGCTTGGACACCCAACGGACTCTAGATCGGCCATCTCCTCCACATTCCTTATATCCCCCTCCCTTTAGTACAGCGTGAACCATGCGGTGAAATCCAGCAGTACCAGGCAACAGGAGTTCAGAACTAAAGAGAACTCGAAACCAAATGATGTGACCCACTCATGTTTCAGAAGAGTCTGAGCTGGTGGTGAAGGATCTAGACCACCGGCCCTCTGGTAGAGCCCACCTTCACCAAGGAACACCATATGCTGGCTGGTCTTTACTTCTCTCAGCTGTACCACATTATTTCCACTAGGAATTGGGAGTGAAAACTACATACTTGGGCACTGCTGTTTCTGCAGAGCTTCTTGTAGATTTGATCAACTGAGACGGACACGTGCTCAAAGCATTGGTTGAAAAGATCGTATCTCCTTCTTTTCACCTGTTCAAACTGTTGCCTGCAGATTCTGGCTTCATTTCTGTTGGCCTCGAAAGCTACGAGAGAATCAGCGTTCTTTATTTTGATGACCACTGAAGAGCTTGTCTTATTTAAACTTAACTCTACGCATACAAGATTTTAAAAATTGGACCGAACTTTGGTTATCCTGAGTGAAGTCTACCTTCAAAAGGGCTCAAGTACTATTCATTATTAATTCCAAAATCATGGATTAGTGAGCCCCGTTCAAGGAGCCAGCTTCTAAATGACACGACAAGTTCTAACTGAGGGATACAGATGGTGTGAAAAAAAGCTATCAATGGTATGCTCCAGCATAACCAATCAACCTTTTTTTTTAATGAAACCTAAACATTTTTCTAAAGGGAAGCCATTAGTGACTTGGTATCAAAAGCACACATGAAGACCAGAGAGGAAAACACAGACAAGACGACACAGGTCAATCCCGGGGGGCTTGGGGAAGGGCGACAGAAATCCAAAGGCGTCTATGCCCCTGATCTTGCTCAACAGAAGGCGGAGCGCTCAACCTCACCTTCTGTGAGCTCCTTCAACTTGTCACGGATGCTCCTCAAGTTCTCCACGGCTCGCAGGTTGGGAGTGGCTGTCTTCAGTAGCACGTCTTCCTGGGAGGCTATCTGCTGCAGAAGCAGTGCACGCTGGACCTCCACGTCCTTGTCTGACTGGACAGCCTATGAGGGAAGAGCAGCAATAACTGGCAGGCGTGCAGGCCTGCACATCGAAGGCACCGGGCCGGCCCGGCTGCCCTCTCAGAGCTGTGGGTCACAGCCTGGCGGGCCCATTGCTAGTGCCTGTGTCTTTGCGTCCTGATGTCTGGGGACAGAGCCGGGGTCCAGCTGGCTGGGAGGTGATACTTAGGCCAGCACCTGACAACGAGCACGACTGACTTGAGTGAAGAGGGAAGGGAAAGGTATCTTAGGGATGCCCTTCCAGGAGAACGTTCTTGACCTTTCACATGGGTTAGTTCCTATATGATAAAGGTGACATTTTAATTTACTGGGAACAGAAGGATTCTTTGATTCAGTGGTGGTAAGTCAACTGACTAAATAACTTGGCAACCTTTTCTTACTTCACACTGGATAGAAAAATACATTTCAGACAGATTAAATAGGTCATTGGGGGAAAAAATTACACCATAAAGCAATAGGATGAATCTAGGAAATTTAGAACTTGTTAAAAATGAAACAGAACACATAAAGATCAATATCCTAGGCATTAGTGAGCTTCAATACACTGCTAGCTATACCAGGAACAGCAAACTCGAGAAGAATGGGGGCAGAACGCATCATCAAAAAGAGCATTTCAAGATCTAGCTTGAAGTATGTGGTACTGTCTGTGACAGGATGACATTCACACACCTAAAAGGAAGACCAGTTAATAGCACTACAATTCAAATTTATGCACCAACCACTAAACTCAACGATGATGAAACTGAAAAACTCTACCAACTTCTTCAATCTGGGATGGATCAACCATGCAATCAAGGTGTGCTGATAATACTGGTGAATGGAAGGCGAAGGATGGAAACAAAGAGGATGGCTGGATCAGTAGTTGAAAACCTTTGTGAGAGAAATCATACTGGTGATTGCATGATAGAATTTTTGCAAGGCCAATAACTTATTCATTGCAAATGTCATTTAAAAAAATATAAAAAGCAACTACATATCTGGACCTCACTAGATGAAATGCACAGAAATCAAACTGACGACAAGTATGGGAAGAGATGGTGACAAAGCCCAACATCATCAGCCAGAACACGGCCAGGAACAGTCTGTGGAGCAGATTACCGATTGCTCAGATACAAGTTCCAGCTGAAGCTGACTATCTCTCACCTAATTCAGAAGCCAGCTCAAGAACAGGTTTGATGCATTGGCCACTAAGGATGGGAAACCGGAAGAGTCATAGGATGTCATCAAGAACATCAGACAGGAAGAAGGCAAAAAAAGACAGGAACGAAAGACCAAAGTGGATTTCAGAAGACACTTCGAAACTTACCCTTCAAGGCACAGATGCTAAAGTGAATGGAAGAAATGAGGAGATAAAAGAGCTGTACAGATAATTTCAAAGGGAAGCTCAAGAAGACAAAGTCAAGTATTATAATGAAGTATGAAAAAACCTGGAGTTAGAAATCTAAAAGGGAAGAACATGCTCAGCATTTCCTAAGTTGAAAGACTCGAAGAAAAGAATCAAGCTTC